AGGCCTGTGGATGGTGGAGTAGGGGTTGGGACCCAGGCCTGCCTTGCTGCGGGCCCTGCTCATAACTGCTTCTGGCTGTCTCAGCAGTGCCCCTTCCTTGTTTTTTGTGTTTTTTTTGAGTTGGAGTCTCATTCTGTCGCCCAGACTGGAGTGCAGTGGCCGCTCCCGGCCACCGCAGCCTCGACCTGCTGGGCTCCGGCGATCCTTCAGCCTCAGCCTTCCAAGTAGCTGGAACTACAGGCGCGCGCTACCACGCCCGGCTGATTTTTGATTTATTGTAGAGATGAGGTCTCGCCAAGTTGCCCAGGCGGGTCTCGAACCCGCGGGCTCAGGCAATCCACTCACCTCGGCCTCCCAAAGGCGCGGGATTACAGGCCGAGCCACCGAGCCCGGCTAGCAGTGCCCCTTGTGCTGCGTCTTCCAGACTTTAGTTTAAACATTTGTGGAACTAAAATCTGGCCTCTGTGCAGCTGGAGAATGGGCGTGCGCCATGCAGTGGAAGGAACGGGAGACCTAGGTGGTTCCCTTGAGACGCCTTGGGTCAAACCTGTGTACATCAGGTGTGTACATCTCAGATGCCAGCCCGGCCGGTGGTTCTGGTGCATGTAAAGTCTGAGAAGTGTTGGCTTAGTCCGTCTCCCCGGGTCCTGTGACTTCAGGAGACCTAATTGAAAGCCGGAGGTATCAGAATCACCTTGTAGAGCCTGGCTTTTAGGAGTTCAGCAAATATTTGCCCTGTGAATGAAGGAGTTGGCAGGCACCCCTGCGTCAGCAGAGCAAACAAGCTAAAAATGACAGACGCAGTGCTTCTAGTCTGGGGTGGGTTTGGACCAGGCATGAAGTACGTGCTGCTTGTTTTCTGATTTTTGATCTATTTGCTCCATGTTCCACACTTTTTCAGAAAAGATAAAAGTGGTCAGGTGCGGTGGCTCACGCCCGTAAATCCCAGCACTTTGGGAGGCTGAGGCAAGAGGATTGCCTGAGCCCAGGGGTTCAAGACCAGCTCGGGCAATTTGGTGAGACCTTGTCTCAACAATAAATCAAAAAATTAGCAGAGGTGGAAGGATCGCCTGAGCCCAGCGGATCGAGGCTGTGGTGGCTGTGAGCGTGCCTCTGCATTCCAGCCTGGGCAATTCCAACTCAAAAAAAAAAAAAGGAAAATATAAATGTGAAAGAACTATAAATGACTCACAGCCCC